CCCGAACGCGGTATTGACCCCAAACTTACCGTATCCTGCTCATCGACCTCCTTGCCTGTCCCTGAACCTCCAGCACCAGCCTACGGCAATCGTTCGTTAGTTTCAATCCTGAATGCGGTATCGACCCCAAACTTACCGTTTCCTGCTCATCGCCCTCCTTGCCAGACCCCGAACCTCCAGCACCAGCCTACGACGATCGTTGGTCGGTTTCAATCCTGAACGCGGTATTGACCGCAAACTTACCGTTTCCTGCTCATCGCCCTCCTTGCCAGACCCTGAACCTCCAGCACCAGCCTACGGCAATCGTTCGTTAGTTTCAATCCTGAATGCGGTATCGACCCCAAACTTACCGTTTCCTGCTCATCGACCTCCTTGCCAGACCCCGAACCTCCAGCACCAGCCTACGACGATCGTTGGTCGGTTTCAATCCTGAACGCGGTATGGAAACCCACACTTACACCGTCCTGCTCATCGACCTCCTTGCCAGACCCCGAACCTCCAGCACCAGCCTACGACGATCGTTGGTCGGTTTCAATCCTGAACGCGGTATGGAAACCCACACTTACACCGTCCTGCTCATCATTCCTCTCGCCAGACCCGGAACCTCCAGCACCAGCCTACGGCAATCGTTAGTCGGTTTCGATCCTAGACAGGGAATTGAAACCGTCTACACTCACCGTCGTCTTTGCCTTCTTCGCCGGTGGCCCATCCTTCTCCTTGCTACCCCCGTCTTCTCGCTCACCCTCCTCGTCCGAATCGACAAACTCCCGACTTGTAATCTGGAAAAAAGTGGGTCAATGCGGCCTGATAGCACGGTCAAGTACTCACCTTTCGCTTGGTGCCCTTGGCCTTGCCCTTCCCTTTGGCTGCTGACCCCATCCTTCCCCCTTCCTGGGCGGTCGCCTGCTCCTTGGCCTTCTCCCTTTCCGCTGCCCGCTCCTTCCTCGCCTCTTGCTCCTTCGCTTTCTTTCCCGCCGTCTTGGGTGTGCGCGGAGTCGCCTTCGCCGACGACGATCCCGCTTTTGGTGGCTGAAAAAAAACGAAAAAGATCAGCCACAAACAAGTGGAGGTGGGGTTGGGCCTCCAGAATGGCTCGAAAAAGTCGAGCCCACACTGGAGGTCGCGTGGAGAACGCACCATCGTGTGCGTTCGTTCGACTTTAGTACTGGTAAAAGGGAAGGCCGGTTGAGTGTAGGGCTGGATAAGTGAGAAAAAAAAAAACTCACCTGGGTTGATAATCGCTTTTGTAGAGTCTTTGCGGTGGATTTCCACTGGGGAGCGATTAATACACTCGCTGGGATGGTGGAGGGAAGGAAGAAAGAATGAATGAGGTAAAACTTGAGCCACCCAACCAGACCTTTCCTTATGACGTTTCGATAGAAAAAGACACCGCATAAAATGGTGAAAAACCAAGGGTGCTAGGAGGTAAGCTTTCCTCTGAGCCAAGACCTTTCCGGACCGATCGTACCTGCCTTATCGGGTGGCGATGGCTCCAAATCGGGGCTCGTTCGAAAGGTCTGCACCTGCCAAAAAAATGGGTAGTTGCCCGATGACAATCGCGACATAATCGGGTTGGAAAAAGGCGGTAGAAACCACCGGGTCCGCCTCTATGAGGTAGATTCAGGTAGGTCATATCTCGTTCGTCCTAGCACTAAGCCAATGTATATAGAAATTGTAAATACAATGCATTATATTCTATCAATACATCCCTGGTCCTAACCCTTGAAAATGCGAGGAAGAGGATGGGGAGGAGGGACGGGGGGAAGAGGTTCCCGGAGTAGTGTCCGCATTTGGCCATCCAGTGCATAGCGGATCAGTCGATCGGGTCCCACTTACCGGATTGGGCCCGGGACCTGATCGTCTTTCCTGTTTTGGAACCAGGTCGACAGTTCAGGTGGTTTCAATCCTTCGAAGAAGATAGAAACCAACGGTGGGGGTGGGTTACAAGGGAGAATAAGGGGTAGGAGGAAAACTTTGTGGCTGTACGGCCATCACTGAACGAGGATCTGTGGTGAGGGAGAGGGATGGTTTCTATAGTCGGTCGGGTTTTGAAACCATGTGCTTAGGGACGTACCTGGACACACAGTGTCTACGTTTCGTAAAAGTGCAGCCCCCTCAGAAAAATGCCGATAAGCAAGGTGTAAAACCTTGTCATAGCAAAATGCTTAAAACAGATTGAGAACGACAAATACTAATCGCGGTTATTATAAGCTCTCCTTGACTGCTTGTACCTCCTATCTACGTCCTAAAGAGGCGCCTCCAGATTCTGAATGCGCTCGTTTCGAGCAAGTAGCTTCCGCTCAGCAATATCTGCCTCCTTCAAAGCGGAATTCTGGTCGACGAGCTGGAGTGAGAGGCGAGGGCTTGCTATGGTGAGGAGGTACTCAGTAGTGTGGGTACGACGAACGGACGGTGTCATGGTACCAAATGGTTTCAAAACTTGGAACCAATTGGAAACCACGGACGACGGACGATGGGACGGACGATGACGGACGACGGACGATGGGACGGACGACGGACGATTTAGTGATGGCGGACGACGGACGACGGACGATGGACGATGGACGGACGACGACGGACGATGAACGGACGATGGCGGACGACGGACCCCGGACGACGGACGATGAACGGACGACGGACGATGGCGGACGACGGACGATGGCGGACGACGGACGACGGACGATGAACGGACGACGGACGATGGACGGACGATTTAGTGTACGATTTACCGAAAAATTTGTTTTTTTTTTGGTACGACGGGACGATGAACGGACGATGACGTCATTTTCCCACGGCGGACGACGGCACGACGTCGTCCGTAAACATGGCAACATGTGTTTTCGGAACATAATATTAGGGGTTTTTTTCTTATCTTATCTTATCTAATCTTATCTTATCTCGTCGGATCGCGCCGAAGCGAAATTCAACCTGCCAGCTCATCCTTTTGCTTCTTGCCCTTCAACCACCACCATCCCCTCCCCTGCTCCTCTCTGGTCCCCATTTCCGAGTGCCTCTGGCTCGGAATATGTAGTATATGCTGTAGATTAGTTTAGTCTTAGTTGTTCTCTTTATTTTTCATGTTTTTCTTTTTCTTTTTCTTTTTTTAGCTGATGATGTGGCACTTTTTCGGCGCTTTTTTGCGCTTTTTTTTCCTTTTTTCTTGGCCTCCACCCACCTCCACTTCCAGTTGGGGTACCAGCAGATGATGGGTCGTGCTCCCATCATCTGTGTCGCTCGGCTTGTGCAGTCGAGGGGCAGGTGCCTTCATTCGGAAGTGTGGTCGGGTTTGGTCAGGTGACCTTCGGGCTGCCTCCTGCCCCGACGTTCTGCCCCAGTGCTGGGGCTCGAGCGCGGGTGGGAGTTGCATATCCCGATTAAAGCCTGGCCGCTTTTTTGAAACATTTTCTGTTTCTTTTTCTTTTTTCTGGGCCGCTAGGGGCCATGGATCCTACCCCGACGTTCTGCCCCAGTGCGGGGGCTCGAGCGCGGGTAGGCATCCGGCCATCCTGCCCCGACGTTCTGCCCCAGTGCTGGGGCTTGAGCGCGGGTGGGAATTTGGTCGGCCGAGAGAGCTTGCTCTCTCTCGGATCATGGTCCTCTGCCCCGACGTTCTGCCCCAGTGCTGGGGCTCGAGCGCGGGCAGGCACTCTGGCGAGCCCAGAATGCTTTAATTTGCACATTTCGTATTTACTTTATTTTGCATTCGCCTAGTCGGTAGGTAGTCGACAATAAATTTGATTGTGAATTTTGTGGGTGCCAACCGACTGAGGATGTGAGGTGACATAAAGATTCCGAATGGTAGGTATATAGTGCACATATATTGCAAGATATTATATGGTCTAATGGCCCAGTTGGTTTATTGCTCGCGCGATGGCCAAGAGGTCGCAGGTTCGATTCCGAGTGGTGTCGTCAGTTTTTGGTGGTGGCTGTGTCTGATCCGCGAGCGATATTGTCCCGAGTTGAAAGAATATCGCTCGCGCATCAGTGGCTGTGGCCAAGAGCAGGCGATATTCCTCCAGTCCGAGGGAATATCGACAGGTTGCCAAGAGCAATCGATATTCTGTCGAACTGGAGGAATATCGAGTGGGTGTTAGTATATCTATAGTCTACAGCTACATGTATTAGATAGAATGAAATG